TTCTTTCTGGGTTTAAAATCCAACAATTTTGATCATTTAAAGCTCTTATTAGGCTCTTTATTTTAAAGTTTATATAGCATCAGGTTTAAAGATTATTTTAACCCAAAGGGATAGCATTTTACTAAATTGTACCATTTAGATATTGCAATATAACGAACAAACATCTTTCTTTCTTCATAGTCACTTGTGTACTTCCTCAGTGGTAACTCGATATTTGAACATACCGGTAATAAGGATTTTAAGACACTAAGGTGAATTATAACAACATTTTTATTACACTCTGTTAGTCTACTGATAGATTTTACATGTAAACATGCTCCAGTTGAACCTCGCTCTATTGGAGGAATTTTATCACTTTCATCTTTCATTTAAACTGCCTTAACATTTAATGTGTAAATATAAAATATGAGTATTCTCCCAAAGTCTTTAGAAATGAAAATATATTTGTCATAAAACTCAAAATTACATTTCTTTGTATATTTTCCCCACTTCTTTGATTAACTGTGAATGAGTAGAATAGAGCAGAGCTTGGGTTTTGGATGTTGGAAGCTCTAGAATATTATCTTGGCCTATAACTAATTAGCTATGTTGGGCCATAGATCATTCATTTACCTTCTCTGATCCTTGTTTTCTTATCTGAAAACATGAAAGTGTTTGATTATTTGATCTCTAAGGTACTTCTCAGTTCTAAAATACTAAGCTTTAATGAACTAAATTTTGTAGCAATTTATAGTTCATTGACAATTTCATGAAAATTATGAAGGAGAGCATTCCAGAAACTTAATTATGCTCATATGAAACTATACATATATCACCAGGCAGTTGTTCCAACAGAATGAGGGGATACTGCATGGTTTAAAATCAGGAAAAATGTGCATCAGTGTTGTATCTTTCACCAGGCTTATTCAATCTGTATTGAATTCAATCTGTATATGGAGCAAATAATCCAAGAAACCGGACTATTGGAAGAACAAGGCATCAGGACTGTAGGACGACTCATTAACAATCTGAGATATGGAGAAAGTAAATTAGTGGAATGGGTAAACCTTGCTTGCTGAAAGAGAAGAGAACTTAAACCACTGACTGATGGCAAAGACTACTTACTGCCTTCAGTATGGGTAAACCTCAATATAAAGAAAACAAAGGTCCTCACAGTTGAACCAAGAAGCAACATCATGATAAACAGAAAAGATTGACATCAAGGGTCTCATTTTACTGTAATCAGCAGTCAGTGTTCATGGGAGGAATGGTCAAAAATCATATGTATTATACAGCTCTGCTAAGAACGGCCTCCTTAAAGTGTTAAAAAACAACCCCCAAAGCAGAGAATCTCATTTTGAGGACTGAGGTGCCCCTTACACAAACCATGGGTTCTCAGTTGCTTCATTTGCATGTGAAAGCTGGACAATGAATCAGGATCACTGCAGAAGAATTGACACATTTGGATTATGGTGTTGGTGGACAATATTGAATGTTTATCATGGACTACCAGAAAAATGAATTGATCTGTGTTGGAAGAAGTACAATCAGAATGCTTTATAGATGAAGATGGCTAGATTTTGTTTCACAAACGTTGGACATGTTATCAGGAGAAGTACATGTCATGGAGAAATACAGCATGCTGAGTAAAGTCAATGGTCAGTTAAAAGACAAACAAACTCTTAAACACCTTTAAAGAGATGGATTGGCACAATGGCTCAGACATGCAACAATTGCTATGATGGCACAGGGCCAGGCAGTGTTTCATTCCTGTTGTACATAGGGTTGTTATAAATTGAAATTGATTCCATGGCCCCTAACAACAACCCTAACATTGACCTAAGAAACTTGTTCCTTTAGTTGTCTTCCTGCGTGTTGAATTCTTTTTCTGGGTTCTATGCCAAGAACTGTCGTATCCATTGCTGCATCTTCAGTTCTCCAGGAGTCAGAAGAAGACAGACTACGAGGGAAATCACGCAATGTGGTCTCGTGAAGAAGGCTGGACATTGGCTTGTGTAGTGACTTCACCTTAGAAGAATTTGCATTTTTTCTGCTAAAATTCCATTCAAATAGAGTTAAGTCCATGGTTTTATATGATCCACTTGATCCAGATTACCCTTCAAATACATTTATTTTATAATAATTAAGACACGTTTTCTGTCAATCATTAGGCCATATTCCTGAATGTGTAGGTTTCACCCTATAGCTTCTCATTTTTTAACAGTATTTTGAAATATGATAGCCTAGTAAATAAAGTCAGCTAGGTCAGTTGTTCATAATTCTGTGCCCTTCTGGTTATTTAGTACAGCAATGTGAGGGATTTTGATAGACTCTATTAAACGCTAAGAAATCAATGCACTTATCTTATGACTTACCTTTCGTTTTTCTGGTATTTATTGACTTATTTTAGCAAGATGGTTCTCTTTATTATGAAATATTAACATCTAAAAGCTGTATTTGTTAATATGCCATAAGTTATATCTGGCTTTGTACTTTTACATTTTAAGATAATTGTTAGTATTTTTAAAGAGCATGTTTTTATGTCAGGAAGCTCTGCATTTATTTCATTAGTTTTAGCTGAGACTCCTTTGCAGTAGAATTTTCTTAAACAGCAAATTGCATAATGAAAATGGCTCCCTCTTGGTAGGGCACTACTACAGGGTGGTACTGACAAAATATGGAAATGGCCCATTTACTGATATCTGAGCACTCAAGCTACTTGAAAGATTCCAGATATACCAAATGTGCTTTTGGTTTTATAACTTCTTGCACACGAGTTGATAAAGCCTTATCAATTTCAGTAGTAGGTATTCTTCCCAGACTGCTCATGTAATACTGTCGTTCATCAGCAAATTGAGGTGAACACCCACTCTGGTATGTTGAATGAATGCACTCTTAGCACTGAGCCATGTAATTCCTTTTTCTGTTTGAAGAGTTTCAGCTGCTAGTATGCTCTTTTACAGGAGCTTAAAAATTAGAATTGTGCATATTAAATCTCATTGTCGATTGCATTAGTGATTGGTTATACAAACTTATACTGCCTGTATTTCTCTATCTTCCATGTATTTGAAGTACTGTATATACTCGTGTATAAGCCAAGTTTTTCAGCACATTTTTAATGCAGTTTTCTTGTAAAATTAGGTGCCTCGGCTGTTATTCAGGTTGGTTTATACTTTAGTATATATGGTAGTTTAAATGCCATTATAATTTATAAGTTCATGTGAAATCAGTCTTAAAGAATAACTTTCCCTCATGTGTTTAGATCTTTATTTTAATTATCATCATTATGAACTAGTTTAATGGGCATCTGTTGATTATTGGCTGTGCACCAAAACTTCTGCCCATCACTCTTAGAGGGTACACAGGGATCCTCTGCCATAGACCTCACTACCAGGTGGCATTTGTAAACGTGGAGGCCAGATATGTGCAAATGGGGGTGCTCTTTCTTTGTAGTGATCTGAGATTTAGTGGCAGTATAGGCATCCTGGTGGTGTAGTGATTACGTGTTGGGCTGCTCCTCAGAAGAAAGATGGGCCTTTCTACTCCTGTGAAGAGTTACAGTCTCGGAAACTCACAAGGGCAGTTCTACTCGGGCCTATAGAATCACTCTGACTCGGTGGCAGAGAGTTTTTTTGTTGTTTTGGTTTGAGTGACAGTGTATGTATGTATGTATGTATGTATGTATGTATGTTTATATATGTGCAGTTGGGGTGAGATCCTGGAGTGCCTTCAATGCAATTTGCATATGTACCTTTAAATCAGAATGTAGTGGTCTAACGCGTATAGAAAGCATTGCACTTGGGGGGAGTGGTGGGGTGGGGTCGTGATTTATTCCAGAAGCCATCGAACAACTTTTATTCTTTTTCTTCTAAGCGGCTTAAAACGTGTTAGTGACATGTGAGATCTTCATGAGAAGAAAGCATTTCTCCCATCTAATTGTGAAGAGTTATGGTTATTTGATGTTCCAACACTGACACAGTTATGTTTATGTTTGCATACTCTCCTGAATGGAGACGGGGGAATCCTAGAATTGGGCATGCTAAAATAAGTTAAGGCCAGAGATAATTTAGAAAGGTGATAAGGATGCTTTCTTTGATTCACCCCTGGCCTATTTTATGCCAAGTCCTGTCGATACAAAGCAGAATAAACATGACCCCTTCTCATAGCCCCCTCAGTGGATCTGCATTGAGAATAGTGGGAATGGACACCAGGCCCTGGCTTCTACAAAGCATAAAATGGTCATCTGGAAGACTTCCATGTAATAGAGAATTCAAGGTCCATCGAATTAGAGGAGTGAGATAATTTGTGTGTATGTCAGCAAGAGAAAGCTCTTTGCATTTTTAAGTTTCTTTACCTGGAAAATACGAAAAAAAGAGGTGTAACTAAAGAATGAGAGGGGAAAACACTAAGAATCAATTTAGACATAGAGTCACTCACATATGGAGAACTGCGTCCTGTGACTTTAAAAATATTTGTTAAAAGGAATGTTTTATTCCATTAATACATAATCGAAATTTCTCGTTTCTCATCCCATACATTTATTTGCACATGTATTAGTTTTATTACAATGTGAAATCTTTTGCATTAATGGCATTACCTTCTGAAGGTAGTCTCAGCTTGGAGACTACTTTCTCATTTCAGTTACATTCTTCATCCTGTTGGGTCACACGAGACATCTCTCCATTGTGCTTATTCATATTAAGTTATTTGTGTAAATTAGGATTTTTTAATTGCATAATTTGTGTACATTAATTGATTTGTGAAGCTTCGCAATTTTAAATGAATTAAATCTTTCATGTGATTTTGTGTTTCCTTGGTCCATGAGGTGGTGCAAAGAATCCAACTATCATACTTATCTGCAGAATAGGTGATAGTCTATGCAAAACTCAGCTGGCCCATTTTTTCTTTCATTGAAGCAATTTTTATTTTTAAATAGCAATACAACTAATGATTTTATATGACTTACTCTGAATTGTAGATGTTTTGGTGTTTGATTAAAATTAAATTTTTTGCCTGTGTAGGACACCATTGCGGTGGCTAGATTTATTTTCTCAGCATCTGCAAACAGAGATGGTGAAAATTGCTTTGTTCTGAAAGCATTTGAAAGCTTCAAAACAACTGTATATGTAAGTGTGCAATGCTTAGTCTCAAACCATACTTTGGTTTTCATGAGCTAATGTGATGGCATACATAAAGGATTTCTCTGCTGGGGGGCGGGGGGAGAAGAAAGAAATAGTATTCCTGCAGATACCCTACCAATTCTGACTGAATTCACTTATTTTATTATTTTCTTGTGAAATAGAAGCTTTTATTAAACAAAAAATATTAAAATGTGAAGTTATTTTTTCTTCACATATTTATAAAGGCCATGTTTCCATCTCTCCAATCCTTTCTGGAAGAATTGTGCACTCTCCAATTTATACCATATCAAATGGTGGTTTTGGCCTTTTTAAGGGACTTTTATTGTGTTTATTTATTTTGTAGAATCGAGCAACTTTAAAACCTTCTTTTCTTACAGTGTTATTGACACTTCTGCATATAGCTGTGGCAAAAATATACACAACAAAACATTCTCCAGTGGACTGAGTTATTTTTATTAAATATGTTTAAAAAATAGAGACTTCTTTTGGCTTTATGTTTAGATTGATTCCGCAGAATAAAGGGATAAACTGTGCAAGTCATGCTGGACCTTATCCTATTGTTTGTAATTATATCCTTGGCATTTTTTGATAGAGTACTGAAGTCTGCCTTAAAGTGATATTTGAGATAAATCTGATCTCCTCTTATTCACTGTGAACATGATCTTCTCACGCCCATCATAACCACTCCCCCGCCGCCACCTTCTCTCACACATGCACATGTGACCAGGGTAAAGGGGGACGAGTCATGGGCTTGCAGGACAACATCTGCTTGCTTTTTTCTAATATGGACGTGTGCACTGTATAATCTAGGAGTAGCCCTATGCTGGACATTGCAATTAATGAACTAGAATTATAGACTTCTTAGTGTTAGACTGATCATTACTACAATTTTGTTTTCCTTTTTGAAAAAGTCCAAGATTTCTCTGCAAAAAAAGAAAATTGATTATCAACTCGAATTTTCTATTTTATTTCGACTGATACTAGTTTCTTTTATAGTCAATTCTGAAGAACATTGAAATACTTCAAATTTAGTCTTTAAGAATACAAATTTGTTTGAGCGTACACCTTTCCATTTGCCCCTAAAGCTTTAATATTTTTAGTGTCTGTAGTTAAGAAAAACTGGTTTATGTCACTCTTAATTTGTAAAGCAGAACTTTAAGCCATTTTAATAAATGTGAGTCTTAAGCAGGTAAATTTGTAGTTACCACAACTGAAAGCCTTTAATCATAATGGAGTATTGATATAAAACTGAGTCTTTCTTTTGTTTTCTTCTCTCAGGTTTATGTTAAATCTACGAGCACTTTTTTGGCAGAATCAATGTCTTTGGTAAGATTACATTTATTTTTAATATTTAAGATGAATACACAAACATATATACACACTGTATGTAAACACGTCAACAAATGCGCTTTACACAATTGATGTGTGTATGGATTGGGATAACAGTTGTATGAGCCCCTAATAAAATGTTAAAAAAAAACCATTATGTAAAAATCTTTTTTAAAAGACTGACCAAAAAAAAAAAAAGTACTGCTTCTTGGATTTCAGTTTATACATGCATGAGCGTGTTGTACACCAAACGTATGAAGGCATGTCTCTGTGATCGGTGAGTAGCTGGAGACAAGTTCTCTCTGTAATACGATTCTCTTGGTATTGTGAAGATGCTTTCAAAAAATATCCAGGACCCAGTGGTGCTTGGTTCTTTTTGTTGGTAAGGTCACTGTGAGTTGGAACTGACTCAACAGGACTTAACAACAACACAGTGCATTTTGAAATAGTCTTAAGTATAATGAGAAAACATGATCTCTGATTTTTGATGTCTGGTACTATTACATTGAAGCTGTATTTTTAGTTATGAATTTGTACCTGATTATTCTGTTTGGAACGTCTAATAATATTTTACATAAAATACGTACCAAGGAAAAAAGAAACTTAAAAAATGTTTTGTTTTAAACTGAAGGCAAGTTCATTTCTTTTATTTTTCATCAGTTTATTTAAACAGATTTTTGTTTGCTGAATTGTGATTTGATAGACCTTACTACTTTAAGTAAAAGCATTTATTAGCAATTCACTGTGTTCACGTTTTAATATTTTTACCATTATAAATTGTTTTCATAGCAATAGGAAGTTTCCATTTGTACACGTGGGCTACTTTGAATTGAGTGAAACTATAAAGAAAGTAATACGTTGAAACATTTGATGTTCAAGGCCAGCAGCTTTCATTTTGTACTCACCAGGGACTAGAGGGAACACAGATGTTAAGTTCTGAATAATAATATAATTAACATTTTTATTTAGGAAAACCATACCCAGAGAAAGCATTGATGCACGTTAAAAACACAACAACAAAATATTGTCAGTATTTCCATGAATTAGTACTTTCTCAAAATTATTTATCAGCTTCACATGTAATGTATCCATGAACCTGTTGCGGAAAGGTCAGATATTCTAAACTATTAGAATCTCAGGTATGCATTTATTGGACTTTATTTTTTCAATTGTAAAATGCGCATTGGGCAGTTTCCCATTTCCCATTCAGAAACTCATTTTTCATGTTGAGATTCTTGTGTTTTGCTTGGCAGGGGTACGGGAGAGTTACTGCATGAGGCTGATGTATTCCTAAATAAGTAGTATTAAATAGTCAATCTATTTTTGGAATAGGGTTGTTTTCAGAAATTAGGAAATACAGCCTTTGTCCTGCAGTAAGGATAAACGAAAACAGGCTGAGGGCAGTCCTTTGCTCTTGTATTCCCGAGACTTAGACGCACGGGAGCAGTGCAGTTGCTGGCATTTTGGTATGATCTAAGGTCCGGTGTCGATTATCCCGTCTCCTCCGATAATGATCAGTGAAGGTGTGTGCCAGGCCTGATGCCTCCTTTACCAGACTTACTCAAGGACTGGAAGAAGACACATCTGCAACCTGTGGAAATTGTTGGAAATTTCATTGTATAGCTTTCTACTTTTTAAATTGAAGTTTCAATATAACCTGGATTATGGGTTAATTCTGCTCTTGTGGGCTGGTCAACAAGTTATATCATTTACAAACATTTTTAAGGAGAGTCAAGTGTCAAAAAGTGGGTTTATATAATAAGTTTTACAGTTTGTAATCTTTTCAGGCCTTTGCCGTTTGACCTATAAAAGGATAACATAATTATATGTGTATGTTAATTTAACACATTTAATTGTAACATGATTCTAAGATGTAAATATTCAATATTCATGTGTTCACTATCTTGTCTTTCTCTAGGTTCCAGCAACAAAATATACATACACACCCCTGAATCAGCTTAAGGATGGCACAGTTGTCAATGTGTATGGTGTTGTGAAGTTCTTTAAGCCCCCATATCTAAGCAAAGGAACCGGTAGGTATTAAAATTGGTGGATTTTTTTTAACTTTATTGTGAGTCAGGTGAAGGTTTCCCGAACATGTCAGTTTCACATTCAATAATACGGACACGTTTTGCGTCACTGACTGCAGTCCCCCCATTGGAACAGCACTTAATCCATTTCCTCCCTGTGTTTCCTATTTTCCTTCTCTCCTAACCCTTCCAAATTTTGTCCATGGGTAAATGCTGCCCTTAGATTTCAAATGTGTGATTATTCTGAGGTGTGTACCGGTTTGGTATAATTTTCCCCTTAGCATCTGTCTACTATTTGACTCCAAAATTGAGCCACAGAAGTGAATTCAGTTCCAGATTTGAAGGGTGACTAAAGTCCTTCGTCTTAGGAATCCCATCTGCCTGCTTTTTGTTTTGTTTTGTTTTGTTTTGTTTTATGAGTGTTAGTGCTGCTCCATATTGTTCTGCCACTCGATCCAACTATGTAAGGTGAGCTGTAGGTAGTGGACGCTGGGCACCATCTCCTTCTTCACGCATCATGGAGACTGATGTCTACATGGTCATTAGTTTGTTGCACTCATTGTTTCCAGGTGTCTTTCCATTTTCTTCATGTTTTCCTCTGCACAGAGGGAGACCAGTCGTTGTACTGCAGATGACTGATCATGAGTTCTATTTCATGAACACCACCCTCACTGTGCCCCAAGTCTTCATTGGAAGCTAAATTTTGTTTCATAATTGCCAAAAAAAATGGTGTGTTTTCTTTGTCATTCTTTGTTTATAAAATATACATCTATTGTTATGTCTTGGTATTTTATGCTTTTACCTTGATTTTGTGTATACATACATATATAAAGCTTATTTATTCTTAAGGCAAATTTTTAAAGTATAGGCCACTAATTATTATAAGAAAATAAAAACTGTTTAACAGATAAGCATGCCAAAGAATGCGTCCAAAAATACCACAAACTTCAGTTTGTTGAATAAAGTGAACAAACCACAAACTTTCATCTTTGTTTAATTTACTTCAGCTAAATTTAGGAAGTCCTTATTATTCATCTCATCTAATTTGAAATACACTTGCTTGTGAGATATACCATTATTTTATTTTTCATTAAGAAATGAAAAACTTCCAGTAAAGCTTGTTTCACTGTCAGTAGTAATATTTTCAGAAATGGTATAAAAGTGGATGGATTCATGTTCCTGATGAGCTGTATTTGTGTACTGCGTGCCTCAAGAGCTATGATTCATACTGGGCACACAGATGTTCCCATTGAGTGCGTATTATTAAATCATTTATACAGGTGTTTATGTAAAGATACATATGTATTTTATTTGCTAGAACTGTACTCATTATTGGAGTAGAGAGAGGAAAGAAAGCCTCACGTTCAAGTGGACAAAGTCTCCATTTCATATGTAGCTTATTCATGTCACTGAAACCATTTTAGTTGATTCATTAGCAAATATGAGGTTAAGTCATAGCCACAAAACTATAAAAATATTTATTTAAAAAATATCCAACTGTGAAGTATTGCTTCCTGACATACTATCCAGCTAGGTCTGTTCTTGTCTGAAAATGGTGTTTCAAGTCTCAAACCTTCCCTAAGAAGTCTGTGTTCTTTGGTTTACACCATGTCAGAACAACAGTTTTGGCATCCTTGGGGGGACTCAAGTCATGTTCCTTTTCACTGTTCCTTGATTTGGGGAACAAAAAAAGTCTTAAGTGGAAAGACAAGACTTGTAGGATGGACAGAGTAAGATTTCCCAATGAAGTTTGCATATGACAGCTCTTGCTCCACTCTCAAAGAAGAAGCAGAATTCATTGCTGTCATGGGAAAAACAACTCAGTACATCTTTCTTGGCTTTTCTCTCAAGATTGGAGTTTTAAATTTTCTTAAAGCTTCCTGATTAGCCTTCTTGGTCATCCTGGGTCCTTTGAAAAAAAAAATTTCCATCACAATTGCCCCTGGGAATCCCACCAGGTGGTCATCATCATCTTCTGAGCTGACCTGTTTCCCTTGGCTTCAACTGGCCCTGCAGTTTCCTCCAAAAGCCACTATTTTATTGGACTTCTTCTCTTTTTTTGGGTGGCTCTGTAACAAGATTAAGACAAGTGTGGAGGATGTCTCTGTAGTTATCCACTGATCACAGAGCTGTCTTGAATCATGTTTTGTTTGGAATAAGCCGTGCATGTAAGAACTGGAACCCTGGCAGTGTTACTCTTTGAATTAGCTTTGTACACATTTTTCAAGAGGACCATGAAGTTGATAGTATAGAACAAAGTGATAGCTATTTTATAAACAGTGATAACTAAATATTAATTTTTGTTGTTATTAGAGGAACTAATCATGTTTTCCTCTGATAACAGAACTAAATCATGCATAAAAATGGATAACAATGGGAGGCTGTATAACTTTTTGTATATGCATAAATATTTCCTTTCTCGATCAGATGTGTTCAGTGGGATCCTGACTGAGTAAGGAATTCATGACTATAATGAGCCATCTGTTATTGCAGAGATAACGTTTCTATTTCTTTTGAGATACTAAATTAAAATGAACATCATCAATTTTATCTGAACATAGTTATTGAAACGGTAAAATTTATCTGAAGACATAGCAAGATGTCTTTGCTACTAGCAAGACCTTAAAACTATGCATCTCATAGCCTTACTTCGAATCGGTTGCTAGCCACTTTTTTTTCCTTTTTAAGGTTTAAATTTAAAAAAAATTATTTTATTGGGGGCTCGTACAATTCTTATCACAGTCCATACATACATCCATTTTGTCAAGCACATATGTACATTTGTTGCCCTCATCATTCTCAAAACATTTGCCTTCTACTTTAGCCCTTAATATCAGCTGCTCATTTTCCCCCC